CGTTAGATCCGGTGTTTCCAATCCCATACGCATTGAACGCTGCCACTTTACACACGTATCTCGTTGCGGGGTTGACCCCTGTGACGTTGACCCTGATTGTTTCCGAGTGTGGCATTTTGACTCCCAAACTGTAGTGTTGATCTCTATCCCTTGTCCAGGGATACAGCAAGTGACGACGTAGCCGCACGACCCGTTACACCAGCTTTCTCTGCTCCAAGTGGCTCTTATTAGAGGGCACCTCTTCCATCGGACGTTGCAGTGAAATAGACATTTGTGGGAGGACTTGGCATACTTGAGACCTCTTCATCTGTGACAGACACAAATAGCACAAAAAACAAAAACAAAGACTGTAAACCCGTAGCATGTTTAGCTAGCTAGTCATAGAACATGAGGTGTGGCTGTGTACTGTTGAATGGCAGGATAGTGTTTGGCTAGCTCTCCAGTTCTGAAGCTGTTTCAGTACAAATTGTCAGTGAATAGTGGGATAATCACCCTCATAACATTACCTCATCTCTAAATAATTATGTCCATTAGAAATACTATTCTATGCCTTTACATATCCCTCCCTCTTGTCCTTAGATCACCCGCCCAGCCAGCTCAGTAGACAGAGTGCCAACAGCACCATGTCGTACAGGGACAGGGTGGAAAAAGATCTCATTACGATGAGTCAATGGATCTTAACAACCGGGTAATTGCCGGCTTCGGTTGCTAACACTGGTGACTATAGGTCTCCTCTTTGGCTGTCACTGTTTGCAACGGATTCACATGCATGTTCACAATTAATGACACAATCCTAAAGTGTTGCAATATATAGCTAATATTATTGTGTGTGTGTACGATATGAATACATCAGTAATATGTAGCTATAGAGGTCAGATCATGATGCATTTGGCACATAAGGTTTTCTTCTGCAATAATTGTGCAGTAGGCATACAACTTTCTGCAATTTTTTCTCCCTAACACATGCAGCCAAAGACCAGTGATCTCTGCAGGCTATTTACCAGCATTCATTTGCAGCAATCTTGCACTCTGGTCTGCACTAATAGGTTTTTCCACTCAATTCGAGCAGAAAACGGAAGACTAGTATGCTTCGGTAGCTACAAGCTCGCCCATGCACCAATTTTCATGCGGATGTTGCAACGTACTTTGCGGAACTGCACTCGGAAACTGTCCACAGATCGTCAGTAGAAGCATAGCCAGAGACACAGTACTCCGTTCAACAACTGCCATATCTCCGATCCCCGCTCTCTCCTTCCCCGCGCCGCAGCGTACGCGCACCTTTATATCGCACCTTCGAAACCGCGCATGCGCAAAAAACCATAGAGAACAATACTAGAAGCATGAAAGGTTAGTATAGTGGTATTCGGTAAGTTGTGACGACTGTAAAACAGAAATAAAGGATGCAGCACATGAAAATGTTCCTTTTTATCATGAGTTTCAGGTTTCAACTGTAGAAACACTGTTGTCCTTTTCTTCCGTCAATTTCCCCTCTCCCTCCCTTCCTCCTTTTCGGCACTCTCCACCTCTCCCTCCTCCTCTCCCCCTTCCTTCTCCGCCTTCATCTCAAAGTTTTCTGGCTATCTTCTTCTTCGACGTGGCAAGGACATCGTTGAAACCACACCCTCCGAACTCTGCATTGCGTCTAACCGAGCCTTCTCGGCTTTAGTCATTCGGCGAGTCGTCTTCGGTTCACGTGGCCCTGAGCCAACCACTCCTGACGAAACTCTAAGAATAGAGAGATACCAAGAAATAGCAAGGGAGGGTGCCTCGTAGTAATAACACACCAAACGAAGCCCCCAAAACGAGTTAGCGTCTCGTAAAAGGCGTTAAGCGATGCCACTCAAATGCCAAAACTGGTCTAACTAGGCACGTGGACTGAATACACAGCGACCCACACCCCTGTAAATGCACACCTCCCGCAGCGGGTATCAGAACAGCACATGTCAACAAACAGCTTTGAAGCAAGCAGCCTAATGAGAGGTAGGTAGTATGCACAGAGCCAGCCAGTTGTATGGGGCGGTACAAGGAGAGAAGGTGCTGGCCAATGTAACGATATGGATCCCTCTGAATTTCCCATAAGTCCAATACATAAACATAAACAGTTCTCCTCCCAGATATTGTAATTACATAATGTATGGCCATAGTGCAGCTTCTTTATTCTCTTGGCATCACATGGTCTAATATCTTCATGTGGTGCTATAACGTATAATGTACGTGTGCGACAGTTTTCAACACGATACACAGTCATGCACCACAGCTCACTAAAACCAAACTATTGAACAACTCTTCCCAGACATTGGCTCTTACATAATGTATGGCCAATATGTATACACATAGTAATATTGTATTCTTACACACACACCGTCATGCACCACAGCCCACTAAAATGAATTCCGTACAGTTCTGTGGTTCTTACTCAAGTTTTCTCTTTCTTGTCACCGCCCTTTCACCAAACAGCACATCTTTCACACCATCGCTGGAGTTCTGCTGCGTCCTACATCGAAATTGCACACATTTTAACTTGCTCACTAACTGTCAAAAGCATGCATTAGGCCACCCTACTCTTTTACACTGCACACTCTAGCTATAGTCAAGGTATTCAGAATGGTTGGTTGGTCTGTCCTTCTCCCCACCTTCTTGCTGAAAGTACGAAAAGTTTAGGCCACCCTACTCTTTTACACTGCACACTCCAGCTATAGTCAAGGTATTCAGAATGGTTGGTTGGTCTGTCCTTCTCCCCACCTTCTTGCTAAAAGTACGAAAAGGTTAGGCCACCCTACTCTTTTACACAGCACACTCCAGCTATGTGCGTACCTGGTTCTAAATTTAGGTTACCGATTTTACCCTTCCGTGACTTAGTGATTTAACCCTTCTTGGACAAAGTAACCTGGTTCTAGATACACATCTAATGCAGCTGCCTAGACCTAAAATTAACCCTGTTGTGACGTAGTTACCTAGTTCTTGATTTAACCCTGTTGGCAACAGATCTAACCTGGATCTACGTTTAACCCTGTTCTGCTTGTTTTCTCCCTGCTCCATAAGTTTCACGTCTCTCTGCAGTTCTTCCCTGAGATCTCTCTTCTTCACGGCCACTGAGGCCAGGTCTGTTCCTCCGAACGAGGCCAGCGCCTCCAGTCTAGCTCGCTCTGCCTGTGGAGAGGAAGAGGTGGGCGGGGTAATGTTTTTCAAGAAAATTTGGGGAAAGCTGTCAAAGTTTTGTAAAAGGTATTGAAATGCCCGCTGCTTAGAAAGGAGGTAGGCCAGTTGGTGCATAGAGAGTTAAGATTTTTGTTTTCAAGAAAACTGCTTCCCAAGTTTTGGAATAGTAGTCCATACAGGGTTGAAATTGAGAGGGAGAGAGAGAGAGAGAGAGACAGACTGCATAAACCTACGCATACAGTAGGCCAAATCTTATTTATCTTTTTACACGAACATTTGCTCCAAGACACGTAGCAATTATCCCACAGACGTACCACACATCCACTTTTCGAGCCCAATTTCTAACCTTTTCGCACCAATTTGTAGAACAAGGCTGGGTTGCCACGGCCACCAACAAAACGCCTCTCAGGCAAACACACCCAGGACATGTAGCCGTGAAAACCGCCCGACAAGTTGGCGAGAAAATTGGCAACCAATTCTGTTTTTTTTGGCGGCTCAAGTTGATAAGTTGGGTTGGTGCAAATGGCGAAGTAATGGGGATTGTCTGTTGAAAAGGGTACAATGTGTGGACAGTAGAGGGTTTGTAAGGTGACACGGGTGGTCATTTGTAGTCGCTTGTGTCCGCGAGCCAAGTTGGGTGTTGGTGGTGGTGATTGGGTTAAACCATTGGACGCCATTGAAAGATGCTATATACAGTACCCACCCATACATCTGAACCATACCCGATTATGCACACACAAATGCATGGGCGTGTCAGGCATGTCTCAACAACTTGGTAGCGAGGTAGAAAGGCAAGGCAAACAAGTCAACTACACCCAGGACAGCGCTTTCTTTTCAAAGAAAAGAAGAAGAGTTGCCCAGGGTGGGATTCAAACCCATGACACTCTGCAGTCTAGGCGAGCACTCTACCAACTGAGCTACCAGGGCAACTCAGCTGGTAGGGGTTCGAATCTACAACACAACACAACACAACACAACACAAGGCAACCTAGACACAAAACACTACTAACAATCACCAACTGACATACTCTTGTCATTCTCCTGGAGGCTGGCTGGGTGTCGCGCTTCTTCTTCTTCATCTTCTTCTCAGTCGACCCTTCATTTTCCAGATATCTGGAGTTATTGTTGGCGGCTGACGATGATGGTGGCTGTAGTCAGGGAACAAATCACACCTTATATCTTTGGATTCCATGGCAGAAAAATCATGTATAAAGTAGTATTATACCCCCATATAAATACTTATGGACTTATGAGAACAAAATCATACCTTAAAACCCTTTGGATGCCATGGGCATCTTAAATATGCAGAAAAATCATGTAGGCCTAGTATTATAACCCCATATAAATTCTTATGGACTTATGAGAACAAAAATCACACCTTAATGATACAGGTCTTAGCAAAACCTACCACCTCTCTATAAGGGACACTTGGTTTTGCCACCTCCGACAAAAGGGACACTTCTGAATAAAGGACACCTTTGATGTCCCCGAGGTGTCCCTTATTTAGAGGTTTCACTGTATTCAGTTATTCAGCCAACATACAAACGTCATACAAGCCTCAATGCAAACATTTCAAGGTAGAGGTGTCACCTTTTCTGGCTGTGACAGCTCATCTTCTCCTGCCTGGTTTTCTCCCTCCCTCTCCGCGACTGCCTCCTTATCTCCGCCCTCCGTCTCTCTCTCCGCCTCTCCTCTCGCCCCCAAACCTCCCTCCTCTCCTCCATTCTCTTCTTGTAGGGCCTTCGTCTCCTCCATTGTTTTTCCTTCGCGTTTCGCGCCAAAATTTAACCGTGCATGCGCATGCGTAGACCTGTACGTTAAACCTTGATTTCTGTTCCCTAGCTGCAGGCTCGTTTTCGCACGTGGCGCTATTTTCCTTTTTTGTTGTGTGTGCACCGTGTGAGAATTTAGTGGTTTTACCAGCAGCATCTCTACTATGTCGTGAGTTTTTCCAAGCTAAAACTGTAATAAGCCCGCTTTCCATAGTCGGTTTCTATTTAGAGCGCACCTGAAGGTGCTATTTTTCTAGCTCTGTCTCATTGTGGTAGGTTTCGAGGACGGGGGAGAGGGAGAGGGCGTGGTAGAGGGCGAGGAAGAGGGAGGGGACGGGGACGAGGAGGTGGAGGAGGATGGAGGACGAGGGAACCCGACCCTCAGTGAGTTGAAAAACAGTCGAACCCCTCTCTAAGAACACCACTGAAATGAGGACACCTCTAATAAGGATACTCCATCAGAAACAGCTTCCTCCTGCTTTTAAAAAGAGGACACCTCACTAATATGGACACTTTCCTCTTTGCCGTTGGTGTCTGGATTAGAGGGGTTATGCAACTTTATGTGATAATCATGTGATATTCTACATGGTCACATGATAGGGATTATCCTCCCCTTCTGCTGATACGTCCGATATTTGACTGGTCTGAAGTGGGGAGTGTGTACCCCCAGGCCGCGCCGCTCATGGACAAAACTCTACTCACGCAGGTGAGGGTGTCATGTGACCAGTGATTACATCATTGAGTAATCGTGCCGGCGTGTTGATTGCAGCTGCTGACAAAGAGAGTGCAGAAATAACACCATCTGGTGATGAACAGGTTTAGTATAATAATTCATCATGTGTATATGTATTTTTGGGAAAGTAAAATATTTGTATCATGCCCTATTAAAAAAATTGGAGAAGGGTAAAATTTTAATGTTATTACTGAGTTGAGTTTGTATTATGTATGTATGTTCCCACTGTATATACTCTACTTACTCACTGTAAAGGTTAATTGAACATTTGACACTTGACGTAGCATGTCCTTGCCATTCATTTACTGCATGCAGTCCAGAGTCCAGGGGTTCTGCAGTAAAGTCTCTACAATCCTCGAGAACCTCATTCTCACCGGAGAAGGAGAAGAACTGGTGAGACGATACGAAGTCCTGCTCCTTGTGTGTTGCTATAGATTGTTCAACTCATTGTGCACGTGAGACTCTTGCTCCTAGTGTGTTGCCATAGATTGTTCAACTCATTGTGCACGTGAGACTCTTGCTCCTAGTGTGTTGCCATAGATTGTTCAACTCGTTGTGCACGTGAGACTCTTGCTCCTAGTGTGTTGCCATAGATTGTTCAACTCGTTGTGCACGTGAGACTCTTGCTCCTAGTGTGTTGCCATAGATTGTTCAACTCGTTGTGCACGTGAGACTCTTGCTCCTAGTGTGTTGCCATAGATTGTTCAACTCGTTGTGCACGTGAGACTCTTGCTCCTAGTGTGTTGCCATAGATTGTTCAACTCGTTGTGCACGTGAGACTCTTGCTCCTAGTGTGTTGCCATAGATTGTTCAACTCGTTGTGCACGTGAGACTCTTGCTCCTAGTGTGTTGCCATAGATTGTTCAACTCGTTGTGCACGTGAGACTCTTGCTCCTAGTGTGTTGCCATAGATTGTTCAACTCGTTGTGCACGTGAGACTCTTGCTCCTAGTGTGTTGCCATAGATTGTTCAACTCGAGTTATTACAAGATTTAGTAGACAACCTAACTATCTGGTTACATTTGTAAATTTAACCATTATAATTATACTGCCACATTCCCTTTGAGATACATCTCTGTGTGTGTGTGTTGGTATGTAGATGTTGGACGAGGTGAGAGGGGCGGGGTCTTACAAGAAGGGGACGGCCCTCTCCGGTAACACGGCCTCCGACCTCGTTGTCATCATGAAGAATGTACCAACCGAGGCTAACGTCTCCAACACCATGCAAAAGGTCAAAAGTCACTAGTGCATTTATGCAGTTGATTGAACGTAGTTGTTGATAATATTTGGCGTTTGATTGCCACCAATGTTTTGCAACGTACAGCGGGAATCATTTTGAATGTGAAAACTTTAAGTAAACCATTTGCGACATGTTTTCTCTCTGCTGTGACGTGTATTGTGAGCAATCCATCTGAAAGGCAGCACCCTGCGAACCAACCTGTATCTCCAATTCTCTTCTCCTCCGCTCTCCTCAGTTCCTCCCCAGAAAAGTTTTAAAAGCAGAGTTTGCTACTAAATCACAAAAGTTATGCGCCACTGGTACTTCACAGATGATACACGTCGCTATAATAGTCACTATAATATAAAAGTCGACTTCATCAACCACTGTATTGTAATGCTAGGACTGTGGTAATGTCTTTGGCACTGCCGTTGTGAGGATCTTGCAGAGGTTTTGGCTCCCAACCTTCCTCCTCTGCAGCTCCTTTTGAAAGTCGTCGTCGACTAAAAATGTTGCCCGAAGACGACATAATTTTGAAAAACCGAGACCTTTTTTCAATAGACTTTGAGCTTGGCTGTCTGTGATCGTTTGTCCCAGAGAATCCCTTAGGCTTCTCTTCTTTCTTCTTAGCTCTCTCTGTTTCCTCCATTTTTGGATCGTAACTGTGGCTGTTTGTACAGACAGAGATGTAAGTAGATTGTGGACGGATTCGTTGCGGAATATATCCTCCATCGCTTCCACATCACGAAGGGCTCGATGACCTGCGAGGTCAATGTGAAACATATGGCATGCATAGCGAGTCTACCTAGTCCTCTGAATGCAGGAATTGCTGTGTTATAATGTGTAATGGGCACTGCACGTACCGTAAAATTTTGCGTGATTCTAAGTACGCATGAAAAATAGAACTACTCACGTTCGATCGCTAAAAAATGTGTGGCGTTCGTTGTAGTAATATGTTATTATGTACATACCTTGATGTGGTTTTTCAGGTGCAAAGTGTGAGTGTAAGTTGGCCAAACTCAAACTCTGTACGTCTTGAAGGGCGGGGTGTCCTTCCTTTTTAGCCTTTATAGAGAAAACAATCACACGTAGAATTTGGTTGGTTTTCATTCTTTTCCTAATTTCTCTTTCGCTAAGTGCAATAGTTACGCACGTGTCGATGCGGATAAAGTAGTGACCTGACCTGTTTTAGGCACTGAAGTGTATCAGCAAAGTGAATGTTTTCTTCAACAAGAGCTGAGGCCGTCAGTTTATTTGGTCTCCTCTCGATCTCAGCGAGTAGAATTGGCACGTCGAATCGCAAGCCTCTGTGGGCAGCTAAAACTGTTGGGAAGTAAGGCACGGACTCACAGTATAGTAGGGATGGGATAGGGCATATTAGTGGGGGTGTACATACCGGCCTATGTATTGTAGGTGTTTGACACCGTAAAACCTTTTTACGTTAATTATTTTTTGGGGGGAGTGTATGCTACATACAATATAAAGCATATTCTTAAAGAGCGTGGAATGGGATGGTGTCATGTAGCTTTGTGCATCTTTGCTGTGTAATGACCCCTTGTTTGTTCCTTTTTGGTGCTTCGAGCCATCCCTCTTCATTTGAAGAAATGTTTTTTTTTCCCGCTTTTAAAGAGCGTGGAATCACAGTGTACCCTTGCAATTCCAATTCAGCCTCTGTAAGTGCAAGCACTCTAGAGTGTTAGTTGGCAAGCGAAGTCATCTTAATTGCCGCACTACCTTCATATGTCGTATCACCCTTACTACCCTTACTATAATGACCTACGTGAGTCTATGTCATGCGTGCACATACATATCTGTTGCATACGCCAGTAATACTCGTGTTCGCTCATACAAATGCTGTTCGTTCGTCCTAGTGTGCATTAACCTGGATAGTACTGGAAGCCAGTACGTCGTGCCACCTCCTCCTTTGTGCTGTGTATCCACCGGAGAAACTGAGGTAGGACCACCGTCAGTGGTTCACTCTGCACCAGCATGGCATTGGAGATGCCCGTCAGCTCACTGGCTAGAGGATTAAATCATAGCAAGTTAGACACAGCCATTACTAGAAGAATGTTGAGTGACCCAACTTGGGATTTGCCCGCGATGTTCGGGCTGCATAATTTGCCGTCAGCGCACAGCTTTCCTTTCGTGAAGCAAGACAGAGCTACCTGTCGCCGTTACATGCGTACCGTAGTATATTGCCAGAACGGTCCATTATAATAGATGCTGCATGAGAGTGTGACTATTGGTAGGGTGCTCGTTTAATTTCGCAGATGCAACATAGTTATGTGGAATTGATTTGCATTAGCTGAGGGTGTCAAAAATTTTGCATTTATTCTAGGCACATGAGCGTAATAAGAGACAAACCAACTATTATTACTACTTTGACTACAGTTTGAGTATGGAATAGTAACATACTTTTACTCGCTGCACCCATTCCTATCTCGTCCAAATTTCGTTGCTCCCCTAGCTGAGGGTGTCAACAATTTTGCATTTGTTGTAGGCACATGAACGTAATAAGAGACAAACCAACTATCATTACTACTTTGACTACAGATGGAGTATGGAATAGTAACATACTTTTTCTCGCTGCAATCATTCCTATCTCGTCCAAATTTCGTTGCTCCCCTAGCTGAGGATGTCAACAATTTTGCATTTGTTGTAGGCACATGAACGTAATAAGAGACAAGCCAACTATTATTACTACTTTGACTACAGTTTGAGTATGGAATAGTAACATACTTTTTGTCGCTGAACCCATTCCTATCAAATTCAAATTCCGTTACTCCCCTAGCTGAGGGTGTCAATAATTTTGCATTTGTTGTAGGCACATGAACGCAATAAGAGACAAACCAACTATCATTACAACTTTCCCTACATATGGAGTATGGAATAGTAACAGACTTTTTCGTGCTGCAACCATTCCTATCAAATTCAAATTTCGTTGCGTACCTGTACGAGGCATTTTGAGGAAAGAATTTGCACTTTCTAGAAGAACTAAATTTGCATCCCAGTAAAAGTGTGCACGCTAGTGAATAATTACGCACCTCTATGTTCAATTCTACGAGAAGTATGGACCAGGCTTGAGAATGAGAGCTGTGTGACGTAAGATGGTGGCACCCCTATGACCTTCCCAGCAAGTTCGGTTATTTCAGCCGAGTCAAGACCTAGACCTGTCGTTTCCGTGTCGAAAAAGAACAAAAGTTGTTTTTCGGCGACACCCCTCTTCTCGTATTGAACTCCACGTTGTAGCTCATCTGGCATTGGGTGTGGTTCTTCCAATTTTATCCTTTTGGCAGCTGGTCCGTAAGTATGTGCTTGTTCTTCAGCCATTTCCTTCCACTGGAAGCTACTCGTAGAGGAATCAGTAGCTGAAAGTGAGGCTCGCCCTCTCTTTTATACAAAACTAGTGTATTTTTAGTAGCCCAGAAATCCCCGTTTTTGCTGGGCCGTAGATAGAGATACACTCTATGAATCTACTACTACTATGTCTAGTAATGGATTAGTCATAACAATGATTAGCCACTAATTAGGGGAAGTCCCGAGGGGAATTTTTTGTTTAGTTCCAGTTGCTTAGCAAAGTCATCCCCATTCTCTGAGTATATGTGGAGAACTCTAATATGTGGTGTTCATTTGTACAAATGTTCGGTTGGAAACATTTTAAGAATGATCCTGATTATCGTTTGTATGATGACTGAGAGTAAGATCAAAGGAATTTCAGCTAGTCCAAACAACGTACACGCGTAGTGAGCACTTCCTGCTGAGTTTACAGGTAGTTAACCCTCGGCGCGCATGCGCAGCGAGGGTTACAGTACTTAGGTCTGTGTGTGTGTCTGTCTGTCTGTCTGTTACTCTCAATCTCACTTCTCGGGTGTTTGTTCGTCTCACAAAGGATACGACCTACTTAACGGGCAATGAAGGTCAGAAATTTCGAACGGTTTTCTCTGAAACTGCTCCGTTGCAAAGCAAGAGCGCGAAAAAGCCAATATGCAAATACGCAACGGACGGGATGGCTTACCACAGTCCGATCGATCCGCGGGCTCTGCGTACTTCGGAGGCACCAGAAGATGCAACGCAGGGCGTGTATCGCCTCTCGCATGCTATGTAGTAGTGTAGTTAGCCCGCGTCAGACTCTGCGCGAGCTGGCAAGAGACCACGAGTAACAGCTAAAACTAAACCCTGCCCATCAATTAGTAGTACGGCGCATGCGTTTACTTACGCGTGCGCGTCACAGTGCGCCGAGGGTTTGCACTTCAGTGCTTTTCATTATACCATAAAGAGGCCATATGATTTCCCCATACTTTAGCTGTATGTCAACTCATTTGCATCAATCACAGTGGGTATATGGTAGTTATACGATAGTAGGAAATTCGCAGCGTGTAATGCAATTGGGGGGCTTTTACAATCTTTGTGTGCTGCTGTTTCTTTACCAGAAGGGAGTGTTTTCAGGCTGGAATGGCCAGAAACTGCTCTAGTATAATTATACGCGGTCTGAAAACTAGCGAAAGCTGCTCCCCGACGCGTAGGCTCCCGTAGACTGGAACAGTATGTGACTTTCAGCTTTCTTGCTACTGCAACAGGCTGCATTCGAGAGTGCTGGGTATAGCGGGAGAGAAAGCGAGCCAGAGCGGCAGCTACAGAACTCGTGTGGAGTCTAGCAGCGAAAAAGTATAGCTTTGACGTACCTGTAACGTTGAACTCTCGAGAAATAAGCATGGCTTCTGCACAACCGCCCAGCTTGACCAAACTAAAGCGCTTATTGCAGCTGTCTCTCTCCCGATCGATTGCTAGCTAGCTATAGCTCTCTCCGTACACTCGAGGGTGTGCGTTAAAAAGAGGGCGTTTTGAAAGCTTTTGGGCAATCTCATGGGTCAGAGCCAGATGTCTATGGTGCGTTATCAGTGTCAAAATAGTACGCGTGCGTTTTGGATTATGTGCAGTCGCTCAATTTAGTCATGAGGTCGGTCTATTTCATCATGAGGTCGCTCTGTTTAGTCATGATGTCGGTTCATGAGATCGCTCCATTTAGCTAGCATGAGGTCGGTCTATTATTTCTATCGCGAGGTCGCTCCGTCGTCAGGTCGTTCTATTTAGCGCAAAATGTCGCTCCGTACCACGACCGTTACGCAAGACCCTCCTATGCGCATGCGCAAAGTGCACGTGTCTTCTCAAGCAAGTGTTTCGGGGGTATATCCAAAATAAGCCTCATCATTTTGAGATCTGTTCAATTCTTCAAGCAAACTTAGGCCTGCACCAATAGCTTCCAAGGTGTCGTTGCTTATGTTCAGAGCCAACAACAACCGATATAGCGTGTCGACATGAAAAACAAGACAATCCAATTTATCTGCTCCCCTTCCTTCCACGTAGGATGTCACTATATAACTGCTTCACCCGCTGACAAACTCCAGCGACTCTTTCTAATAACTCTTCATCCATTTTGCACTTTTCCAAATAATGCACAGCCATGCATCACACACTGCGCATGCCCAGAGTGGCGACCTCATGACTAAATTGAGCGACCTCGCGATAAATAGACCCACCTCATGATAAAATAGACCGACCTCATGACTAAATTGAGCGACCTCGCGATAAAATAGACCCACCTCATGATGAAATAGACCGACCTCATGACTAAATTGAGCGGCTGCACGTAATCCAAAACGCATGCTGCTATTTTTGACACTGATAACGCACCATAGATGTCATCATACAAACACGTTATACGATGGCTTTGCTTGTGGTTTATTGATTTCAGACAAAATCCAGGAACTGGAGCAAAGGTCTGCGATACGGAAGGTCAACCCCCGACCAGACCAGTTTATCAGCCAGATCTTCCTAGGACGGATCAGCGACCAGTCTTAAACCTGAAGCCGCTGAACCGTTTGATGGCAAGGCACAAATTCCAAATGGAGAGCGCGAGAACACTGAAGGACCTGGTCAGGAGGAACAACTGGTTGGTCTCGATCAACCTGAAGGATGCCTACCTCTCGGTACCAATCGAGGAGTGGGACAGGAAGTATCTACGGTTCACATGGGAGGAGAGTGTGTACGAGTTCCAGTGTCTCCCCGTTGGGCTCAGCAGTGCTCCACCAGTCTTCACAAAGCTACTGAAACCAGTCATGGCCCTCCTCAGACAGAGGGGGCTACGGAGCCAGACGATAATTATGCTGCTGATGGCAGAATCAAGGCAAGATCTGAAACACCAGTCAAAGGAAGTCCTGGCTCTCCTCGGGCTGCTGGGGTTCAGGATCAACTGGGGAAAGTCCCAACTACAAACTGGTGTGTCAGGGCCTCACAATCGACACAACTCTCATGACACAGACCTTACCAGAAGAAAAGGTGCAGAAAATCCTAAAGGGATGCCAGCCGACTCTTTGCAAGGATATGGTGTCAGTGAGGGACTTGTCGAGACTAATTGGAATGATGTCGGCGACGACACTGGCGGTCTTGCCAGCTCCACAGAGAGCTCCAGGACTTGAAGATACGAACACTGAAGAAAACACAGTCCTTCCAAGCTATGGTGTTTCTGATAGAGGAATCAAAGGCAGAGCTGGAGTGGTGGATAGACAGATGTGTCACTCCTAGGCTGAGGAGCGGCCACAGAGCAGATGAGCACTGGCGGCCTTTGGTCCGAGAAGGAGAGAACTCATCACATAAATCTCCTGGAGCAAGCCGGCGGAGCTCTGGCCACGAAGACATTCACGAAGGGCAGGAAGAACACTCATGTCCTTCTCAGAATGGACAACACGACGGCCATAGCGTACATCAACCGGATGGGAGGCACAAGGTCTCAGACCCTATCCCAGGCAGCCTGCGATCTATGGCACTGGTGCCTCCAGCAGGGGATAACCGTGTCAGCAGTACACCTACCAGGCGTGATGAACTCCATAGCAGACGGAGAGTCCAGGTCACTACAGTCATCAGCCAAGTGGATGCTTGAGAGGTCAATCTGTCACATCGTCATACGGACCCTGGGTCCATGCTCAATGGATCTC